TAAGTACATTTCTCTGTCAAAGTTAAATTTAAATTGTCGATAATGATCTGTTTTCTCCGCCGTACATATATCAGAGTACCAAATTCTTTTGCCTTCATTTTGCGCATGGCTTTTGAACTCAAGTAGAAAATTTTCACTGTTTTCAACGCCTTGATTTTCCCAGACTGTGCCAAAACCTACATTGTCTAATAGGAGCATTATTTCAGTAGCCCATGTGCGTTTGCCTTGATTGTGCATATTTAAAAGCATTTTATAGGCTTTATTTGGCAGACGCTCGTTCCCTAACCTGGTAACCCTCAGCCAGTATTTAATGCAGCGTGTTGAGTAATAGCAAAATAATAGAAGTCGTCCGCAGTCTCCCAAAACCATATTGTTTTGTTGTGACTTGCCAAGAGCACTTGCAGGACATAATTAATCCCAAATCTTCATATGAACCCACGGTCTGAATAAGTTGGTTTCCAAAATACCATATTTCATTTTTGCTTAAATGCCCACCATTTCAGTGAACCACTATTTTTGTCTTCGACAGGTTTATGGCCATTTTCCACTCAATGGTAAATTCATGCAGAACATTGATGATACGTTTTAAATTTATAACAGTATTTGCCATAAAAACAATATCGTCAGCGTCCAAAAGATTAAACAGTTCAAACATGTCATTTGGCAACAACTGTATACCCCTGAGCCCCGAATCACATAAGCTTGATTCTATTTCATTTATAAAAAGCGAAAATAAAATGGGACAAATTAAACACCCTTGTCGGATACCTCTCTCAAGTTGAAAGTAGTCCGATGTAGACCCTCCAATCCTAACACAGGATTTAACATCGCTATATATACTTTGCAAAATATTGTACATTTTCCCATTGATACCGTCTAAACTCAGCCTATATATAAGGCAATTTTTTTCAATGGAGTCAAAGGCTTTTTTGACAAAGGTTGAGGTGCTGCATTATGCAAAAGTTTAATCTTCATCTGTGTAGTAATTATGTTTATAGAAAACTTTTGACATGTTAACTGTGACGATTATTTTAGGATGTCGAATTGTCCCCAAATTAGAATCGCTGGACCAAAGGCTAGGATTATTAAAAAAAAAAAAAAACATTTTCAAACTGACTTTCCAGGAAAAAAAATCAGATAATAGTTGATATAAGTCAGATAGTAAGTTGTTGAAAATATTGAAACCATATTTTTCAGTGAAAGGTTCATGCTTTTTACATAATTCTAATTAGGTCACCCCTAAAAATACATGAAATGAGGTTCACTGTAAATTGCTTTAATTTCGTGAGAGATCAAATTTCGTGACTCAGTGAGAATTGCAAAATTTTGTAGCAGTGAAAAGTCCTCTGGGGTTATAAGATATGGAGTGTCAGCAACTTTAACAAAATTTTGTATTCATAAAATAAAGAACGGTTTTATATAGCTTTTTCATCATCAGTTCCCTCTTTTCATCACAAAATAGTCCCATTTATACAGTCTGTACTTTCCTTCAGAAGAATGGGACAAAAATAACCAAATTTTTTTTGAGAATTTACTCAAATTTTGTCTGTTGGCTCCAAAATTAGGGTTCATTTCCAGAAATATTCAAAAATATAGTGTAGAGAAATTTGGCTGAGAAAGTCTGGTGGAGAAAAAGTTAGAGCATATACAAATGTACTCTGACAATACATAGCTATAAAGCCTGGAAAACAATATCTGAGACACTTACTTTATGATCATTGTTTTCTACTAAGATCTTCAGCACTAATTTCAAACCACCAAGATCCACAATTTCTTGACAGATATCATTTCTCACAGCAAGACGACTTAAAGAGGCGCACAGTTCACTCATGGTAACCTTGTCATTTGTATGCTCTGAAAAATTAAATTAAATTAAATTTCTATCGTACATGTATTTTTTTTTAAATTTTAAATATTATAATATATTTGTACTAAATATTTTATTATTTTTACGCACATCTTATTTTGTATTATTTTAACTATCGGTACAGAGGGCTTTTATAATAACCAAAACTTTTAAAAAACTAGTGAATAAATAATAAATTCAAATAAAAATGAAGTACCGTTATATGAACAGAATTTAAATACATCTTAAAAAATTAGAAAAAAAAATGTATTAAAGAATCTTATTTCAGTCAAATTGAATTTTAGTAAACTCTTGTACATTGCTAGTTGTACAAAGAACGATGTTCAATTTGTATTTGTCTTTATTGATATGGTCTGTGTTATATATTATCATTAACAAAGCAACAGTCAGGAATACAAATCCTCTAGTAAGTCAATGTAGTAGGTGAACTTCAAAATAGTGCCATTGGGAAAGCCTAATTTGACTGCTTTGCGCTAAATTCTGCAGTTTTCAGACAAAAACATTGTGAAATTTGACACTGATAAAAATGTCACTTGCATACTGTGAAATACTTTATTTTAGCTGGGATCAATTTTTGCTGAAAAAACTTTTTGGGTGTTTTGTGTAGATTTTATTTTCACTGATTTTCGAAGAGTTGAATGTTAAATATAGCAAAAACAAGCAGCCTATCGGCTGAGATAGCTCCGCTGTTAGCAATGCACATTTCAATTAAAGAACTGAAGACTATTCACCAAAATTAGAGAATTGAAGATATCATCACGAAATGAACAAATCTGAGAAAGGTCTACATGTAGTATCTATATATGTAATATCAAAGCAATTGAATTTTTGGTTTTTAACAAGAAGTCGAAAATATCACTTTTTACCAAAAATCACAAAAATATTCACCAAAATTTAGAGAATTGAAGATATCATCACAAAATGAACAAATCTGAGAGATGTCCACATGTAGTACCTATATATGTAATATCAAAGCAATCTGACTTACAGTTTTTAACAAGAAGCCGAAAATATCACTTTTTACCAAAAATGACAAAAATATTCGACAAAATTAGAGAATTGAAGATATCATCACAAAATGAACAAATCTGAGAAAGGTCCACATGTAGTACCTATATATGTAATATCAAAGCAATCGGACTTACAGTTTTTAACAAGAAGTCGAAAATATCACTTTTTACCAAAAATTACAAAAATATTCACCAAAATTAGAGAATTGAAGATATGATCACAGAATGAACAAATCTGAGAAAGGTCTACATGTAGTATCTATATATCTAATATCAAAGCAATTGAACTATTGGTTTTTAACAAGAAGTCGTAAATATCACTTTTTA